GCAACAGCGCCAAAACAGCAAAAGACAGCGCCGCTGCCGCACATGCTACTCATCCCCCCAGCTCGCGGAATGCGCACGAGGGCACCGGCTCTGTTTTCACGTTGTCACTGGTGTTGTTTTTACGCCTTATGCGTCTTGTTTCTGCGCTGTTCTTTTCTTTGTGTTTATGGACTCATTTTGCACAAAAGACAGCGTAAAAACAGCGCCGGTCCCCCCCATGCGAATCCGACTCATCCCCCAGCTCGGTGGGAGGCGCACCGGGGGCGCGCTTCCCAGCCGCGCTCCCCCCCCCCCCATGGCGCCTCGCGGCCGCGGCCCGCGCGCCCCCCTCAAGCGCCAAACCGGCTCCATGCCCGGCCTGAAGCCCCCCACCAAGCCGCTGAAGGTCAAGGCGCCCGTTCGCGGCGCCCGATCGGCCAAGCCCGCCAGCAGGCAGGCCCCGGCGCATCCCCAGCAGCCCCCGGCGCCATCCCCGGGGCCGAAGGTCGCCGGCCAGCCAGGAGCGAGGGATGGGGACGGGCTGGAGGCGCTCAGGGACAGGGAGGAGAAGGCGATGAGCGAGCTGAGCGCGCTGGAGGCCCGGATCTACGAGTATGAGACGAGCTACCTGAGGCAGAGTGGGAGGGGCAATGCCGTGACGGGCTACGCGGACTGGCTTTCCGGAACGGCGTCCGGCGCGCCGGGGGAGGTCAGGGATGAGGACAGGATCTTTTCGCGGTCGTCGGCGACGGGTTGGAGCCAGCGGGGTCGGCCGGCGCAGGAGCACGGGGACTAGGGCCGGGGGATTGTGGTGGGCGGGATTGTGGACTGTAGGGCGGGTGGGAGGGGCCCGCCCGGTGGGGCAAGACGCAAGAGGCGCCGCCGGCGGCGGCGTGGGCCGGCCGCGGGGCCGCGAGGCGGGGCGGTGGTTAGCTGTAACAATACTTCCCTTTATGCCTTGTCTTTGGGGTCCATTTCTACCAAGGTCTAGGATCCCTGCCCACCCCTTCTTGCTGTTGTCAAAACCCCCCACCCCCAACCCACCCCCTTTTCTTTCACTTTCAGTTCAGTCAGCTGTGCCCGGTTTTTCCGGCGCTGTGGTGGCACACCATTCTCAAAACGGAGCCTCTGTGTCCTGCTGCCCACAGCCTGGCCGATTCCGCGGCTCCCATCCACGCGCTCGCCATCCCCACCATCTCCCCAACCTGCGCCAGCATCAGGTTCCTCCCCCCGGGGAACTTCTCTGGGCTGCCACCTTGGGGCCACCACGTCCCCCACCACTCTCAACCCCTTCCTCATATCCACTGCCCCCCAATCCTCCTGCTGTCCCTCACAGAGCTCCCGCTCCACAACTGCATGGATCCCCTCCGGAAACAAGCAGGGGCCTCGCACAGGTTCCAGCCTGATTTCCCTGCACAGTCTGCCCCAGTCTACCTACTCCCTGGCCACACCGCACTGTGCCCCCCACTGTTGTTTTTTGCATTCTGAGTTGCTTGTGTTGTGTGCTTATCTTTTCGCATCGGGGGCTCTATCATCTTTTCACAGCATTGAAAAGAGCCTCCCATACATTTGCTTAGGAGATGGGGCCCTTTGCCTGTGCAGCTCCAGGCAGGCCAACTTGCTGGGCGCCGCTCTGAACCTTTTAGGCCCCCTGGACATCCAACCCATGCGCCTGCCTGGCCTCCCAGCCCCTTCGTAGACCTGCGACGCTGCCTCCACTTCCAATGGCACATCTCCCAGCGACCCAAACTCCTCTGCAGTCACCTCCACACTTCCCCAGAACTCCTCCAAAGCCCCCTGAGAGATGTGTTGGTCTGGGTCTATTATGAATTGGTTGCCTTCAGGCTGAGAAAAAAGTGGGACAAATACTTCGGACATGCCACGGATAGGGCATGACTTGTAAGATCGAAACCTTTGTGTCAAAGGGATCCCAGTTTTAATTGAAAACTCTCGCTCCACAGGCCCCCTTGGGGCGAATTTGCTCCCCTTGCCCATGCGCAACAGTACCTGCCGGACCTGATAGTTCCAGAACTCCACCCTGACCCGTGCCCGCCTGGATGCCCTCCAGTCGGGCCTGCCCATCAGCCCCAGTGTCAGGACCGCCTTGCAGAACGCCAGGCCCCCTGCCCGCGTGTGCCACTCCTGAGGCCCCCCTTGGCACCACGCCGCTGATGTGTGCGTTGTTGTTGGCCCACTATAGACAGCCAGCAGAGTGGCGCTGCTTGACCATCCGAGCTCAGCAGAGACACGTGACATAACTGGTGTGTCGATTTTTCGCGCTGCCTGTAAGGATTTTCGTCCATTCGGTTCGCTGCTGGCCCGCTCGTTGTACCTCCACACGGGGGGGCGGCGCCGTGGCCATGGGTACCCGCTTCTGCGCTCGCCCTTGCCCCCGCCAAGCCTCATGATCGCCGCCAATACAGCTTTGATGAGAACATATGGCTGCCCGCGCGCCTGGCCTGGGGACACATCTGCGGGCGCTGTCTCTGTGGATTCCATCAATGCGGATGCGGTGGTTTGGTTGGTGGCCATGCATGTGTTCCACGCGCTGGATGCGGCGTCTCGGGGGACGGCGAGGGCGCGACGGGCGTGGCGGGAGGCGGCGCTGGGCGGGTACGGGTCCAGGAGCGCGGACGTAGCGCGCCACGCCATGGACGCGGATTTAGAGCGAAAAACTGTGTTGGTGGGCCCTGGTGTCCATTGTAATGCACTCCTCTTCCATGAACATTGTTTTGTGACATGGTAATCTAACATCTAATAAAGGTGCCCGAACCGGGTTGTTTCGATGGAAAATATCGTTTTGGACGTTTGATTTGAGTCAGAAAGCAAGAAAGCGCTGCGAGGCGCGATGTGTACAAATGGCACGCTTCGGCCTGTGCTGCAAGTGGTGGAACACCGGCGGTGATGCCGGTGACGTTCCGTTCGCTTCCGCACAGCTTCGCAGCGTCCCACGGCAAATGCGCTGTTCTGTTCACCAGGTTTTTCAAACTGGATTCCATCAAGAGCGCAACGACCAATTGTAACGAATGGGGGAGAGGCAAGAGCACGGCGCTGGGGGCCTGCAAACAGTGACAACGACCTGATCAATGATCAGTGTGAGGGCGGCGAATATACAACGGATAATTATAAGGTGAATGGTGTTAAATACGGTGTAATTTGTCATTGTGAACATGGTGATAAAACATGGTGAATGTGGGGAATAGTGGGTGACTGAATGGGGACATTTCCTGCGAACACTATATAGTTGATGTGGTCGTCTTGTAATGCATCTGCTTGCGGTATCGCTTCCCGTGCCTGAGGAGCGACCGTGTGCGAGCGTGCGTGAGGGCGTACGGTTAACCCGATAATCAGAATGGCAGAAACGTTTCGCTCATGGCTCATCCCTTGACTTGCCTTGCGCCTGAATCGGCAATCTGCAACACCATGCACAATGACGCCCACTAAACGCTGAACCCTAAAAGCCCTAAGCGTGGCCGAAGCACACGACAATGTGCGCACTGGGGGCTAAGCAGAACCGGGGTTGCAGAGGGGCGGCCAGCGCGGGTCCAGGCACCACGCCGCGTGGAACCTTCCCTGAAGGGCCAGCATGGGAGGGCAAGCGAATAGTTTTCCGGCCACCCACAGGGCGCTCGCATCACTCTTTCTCATCATGGCAGCCCTGGGTTGCGCCCACCTTCGCTGCGTGCTGGGTCGGCCTGGGGGGTTTCATGGGCCTGGAGAGTATCCGCCCTCCCCTCGATCGTCAGGCCCCAGGCGCCAGGCGCGGCTCACTCCTTTGCGAGGCCGGTCGCACACGTTGCCCCCAGCGCAGCGCGGGGCCCCAGTACTTTGCGGTCCGTACTTTGGGGCCCCCGCACCACCCCATCCTCCCACTGCCATTCCGCGTCCCGACGCAACGAGATTACAACCGAACTCCTCCAAGGGCGGAAAGCGTCGGGCACCTGCGCCCTCGGCCAAACGCGGCCCACCCCCCGGGACCCCGCCACCGCGCGCCTGAGGAACAGAAAACAAAACTCTACACAAAGGAAGAACATTGGGACAGAAAAGGGGCGCCCTTGAGGCATCTGCACACATCTCGGGCGAGAGGCAAGAGGCAGCGGGGCAGGAAGGGTGGCTGGGTCGCCATGCGCAGCGGCGCATGGCTCGCGCTGCTCGCCCTTGCCCTGGCGGCCTGCCGGGATGCCGCGGGTCAGGTGGGCGGCGCGCCGCGCGGCTGGGGGCGACCGCATCGCGGCGAGCCGAGAGATCGGCCCGACGACCGGCGTGAGGGAACGGGCGGCTTTTGTGTTGCCACCTGCAGGAGGGGGAAGGGTGGCTTTGGCGGGGGCGGCGCGCGGGGGGAATGGTGCGGGTGGAGGGGAATTGGCGGGGAGGGTCCTGGAGGGGGGTAGAATGCCCGCGTCCTGTCGGGGTGATAGCCGAGTGTGATGGATGCGGGGGCGCGATTTTGGCACAAGTCGCGGCCGAAAGCCGTCTCCTTCGAGGTGGGACGTTAATCCTCAGCGCCAGTCAGGGCCATGAGGCGCCCCGCCGGCCGCCCTGTTTCCTGGCGTCCTCCCGTTCGAAGCCCCCCAACCAGCGCGAGGACGGCGACGCATCCAAACACATCGTTGCGGGGTTCCAGACCGAAGGGAGAGAGGCGAGGGGCCCACCCCGTGCAAGAGGGAGCCTCTCGCGCACGATGCGCCCAGGCCCCGCTCGCGGCGCCGATTGGCCGGGGCTTCCCGTCCAGTCCACCCCGCCAAGCGACGCGACTATCCATGGCGCGGCCTCGGCCCAATAAGCTTGTTCCTGCCACCCCTAGCTGCGCCAACACCGGATGCCGCCCCCCTCTCAGGAAAAGTCAGTCCCTGCCCTCTTGGCTTGCGACTCAGCTCTTCCTTTCTCTATCTTCGCGCCCTTGGACCCCCACGCAGAGGGCTGCTGTTTCCATCAGCCCACAAAGCCACCTCGGATTTTTTCCACCATGCCTTTCATTTCTTTCCCCATGGATCCCAACGACGGCTCTGCGGCCCCCACAGGTGGGCGCCGGCGGCCCAGGCCCGCCAGGCTTCGCCCCGGAGGACCTGGATGAGACCGGAAGGGCACAATACGAGCTGTTCAAGCAGGGCAAGGTGAATCGGCGCAAGCTGCTGGTGCGCCTGAAGGACAACCCCACGGTGCAGGCCGCGGGCGAGGGAGGCTATTGGGACCCCTTCAGGGACGGGGAGGTCACAGAGACGGTTGTGGAGTCCCCCGGGCAGACCACCACCACAACAACTGCCACCCTGAGGGGCCCCAACTTCCAGGCCTTTGCCAGGCGCACGGTCACGCGGGCGACTGGGTTCAGGGACGTGGAGAACATGAAGAAGCGCGGGAAGGACAGCATGGATGGATTCCTGAAGGAGAACAACCTGACGACGGAGATGAAGCATGCATGGTATGGGGCGCAGTCCGGGATCGCGGTGCTGGACCTGGAGGACGAGAGCAAAGCGGAGGAGCTGTGGATGAAGCTGAAATCGATGGAGGGGAGGAATGGGAGGGAGGGAGGTGAGGGCTAGGGGTCGGTATTCTATGCTGAGAAAGATGGTGTGGAAGAGACATCTTAAATATCCCGACCGCTTTGATATGTGATTGGACTCAACTGGAATATCAACAGCAGACAGCCGAGGTGCACACATGCCAAACTGCTGGTTCCTCCTGTGTAGCAACTTAAAGAACGTTGAGGAACGCACAACGTACTCAACAGTGAATGCACACTTTGCAATGACACGTTGTTTCATTTCAAGCATGTGTTTGACAGGAGTTCCTTTTTGTCTGGGAAGACTGCCAAGGGTGCAAACCCCAAATAACAATTGGCATAGAAACACAGGGTTGTGAGGGCTAATGGGTTGTCAGGGGCAGGGTGATTTTGCCCCATGTGCTTTGTTTCAGCAAAGCACACTTCAGAATTGGAAGGCTAAAATTCTGGTTCTCCTCCCACAGGCGCTCCAGCAAGCAGCCCACCCTATTTGGACGAAAATATCTCCTTCATGTCATTGCTGAAACATAACTAAGCATAGATCCCAAGGGGTGGGGTGTGTGAGATTTGCTGCAAGAAGGGTGTCCATATTTCATGCAATGCTTAGCACCCTGCATCAAAATTGCCTGCCATCGCCTCTCCTGCTGCAAAGGCCTTGTTTTGTGATGTGTTTTGAAAGTGCAGCAGATGGAGCATGCACCAGAGCCTGTTGAGTTTGTGACAATCTTGTCCATTGTGCGAAAGATGATGTGCAAGCATGTGAATGCAGAAGTAATCAAATGGGACAGCACAGCGTTGCACATATTGCAACTAGCCATGCACTCTGGGGTAGCCGTCATAGTAAATTTATGAGAGCTTGGGCATTGTGGGTGTGGTTGTGGGTGGTGTTCTGCTGGTTGCCAGCAGAACAACTGACAGACTTTTCTGATCCAGCTTTCATTGCTGCCTTGGACAGACGTGAAATATTTCTCTTTCGCAGTTTCTCAACATCACATGGCGTAACCGAATGCGGGCCCTCGCACCTCATGGCATTGTGTGGCACAGCAGCCAAAAGTTGCTGGTTTATTCTGCATGGACACAGGACCCATGAAGCCAGGGTGATGTGCATGGTCGCTGCCCATGCCCTGTGTGAATCCTTCCATTCATGACACTTTCATGCCAAGTGCAAGGGGCAATGGAACTGCAGTGGCATTGCTTGACATCTGAATGGTCCAACACTTCTCCAGGCCACGGATGACATTTTGAATCATCAGTGCATCAAAGTGTACCACTAATTGCACAGGCACCCCCAGAAGTTCACATGGATTGTTCCTGAAAACAAATGACTGTCCAGAGAAATTGCCTTGTGCCCATTAAATGAATACAACGAGACTGGTGGTGGAGGATTAGGGAAATTGTTGTTGTTATTGTTGTTGTTGTTGTTGCCAACGTGTTGTTGTGGGACCAACTCTTTGTTGGCCATTTGCAATGAATTCAGGCAGCCATTCCTGGGCTTGGATGCTGGCCAAGCCAGCGGGGGTGGCTCCTCAAAAGTCCCACCATACCAGTGTTGTCCTGGACACAACAGACCTTTTGGAGAATGGGATGGAGCCATTGTGCAAATGCATGTTGAGCCTTCTTGAATCCTCATGGATTATAGCGGCCAATGGTGTTGATGTGCGACAGTGATCGATTTTGTGGAGCTGGACGTTCAATTTGAAGCATTCCAGACCGACCTGAACTGCAGGCCCATCGATGACTGGGGATTCCATCAGACCCGAACGCCTCAGGCCCTGCAGCTGCTGGGCGAAAGTGAGCCTGACAGCAACAACGCCAACGTGACTGTGGCAGTCGTGGACAGTGGGGTTGACTACACTCACCCTGCCCTTGCAAACAGGATATTTGTGAACGAGGTAGAGCTCAATGGAGAGGATGGGGTGGATGACGATCTGAACGGTATGGGGGATCCGTGCTCTTGACAAATCTTGTGTGCCTTGGGACTGGCGTTGCAATCACCAGAGTCTCTCAGCACTGGCACAAAGGGGATCGAGCCCCTTGAGGCAAGACCATGTCCTGAAAGGAATGCGCTTTGAGTATGTCGTCAGTGGATTGTTGAAGCTCAACAAACTACCACTGGACAGTCAGTGGCAGCAAATATGTGTTCCCTGGAATGCTCTGTAGCAAGCCACATGAAAGGGCCATTCATTCGATTGGCATGGTTTCATTCGTTGGGGGTACAGGACTGGGCATCCCTGCTGTCTGGGCCATAGCTGTCAAGGTACAGGGCCTTGTTTGCTCTCTGAAAGCAAAGTCTGCCCAGGGCATCTGTTTAGGCCACTAAGCTGTAAGCTCAACACCCTAGCAATATGAGCAGCAGCAATTTGTGGTGCAAAAGCTGTTCCAATTGCAGTGTGTTCAGCGTGGCGGTGATCTGTGCCTTTACCCCCATTCCCACCCCTCTCTGCTGATAGCATCTGTTTGGACTCTTTTGTGGAACAGTCCTGAAGCTCATTCCGTGCATGCTGCTGTTGGGAAGCTCCCTTGGGCGTTGTGTTCTGCTGACAATCCTTTTGCTGTCCTAGTGTCAGCCAGCATTCTGACTGACGGATTGACTGGCTGATTGATAGAGCTCCTTGCCTGCCCTGCCAGGTTTTGTGGACGACATCAGGGGCTGGAACTTCTTTGAGAACACCAATGAAACCATGGATCGCAATGGGCATGGCACTCACGTGGCGGGCATCCTGGCTGCTGACCCTGACCCCTCAGGGCGGGTAAACCACCAGGGCATCGCCCCCAATGCCCTCATCCTGCCCTGCCGCTTCACAGGCAAGTGCATTTTGCAGTCAATATTGTATGATGCCAATTATTTCCAGACGTTGGGGGCATGAAGGTCATTTTTGGGGTTTTGGACTTCGAGGTTTTATGTTTGCAGGGCCCTTGTGCCCTTGACAGCTCTTTACCTTCATATCCAGAAATGATAGGTATTGGACAAGCCTCTGTGCAGTTGCGTCATGAGTATAATACTGATGCA